TGTTGAGTAATTTTGTTATGCTCTCGAAGATTGTGAGATTCCATCAAGATGGCCGATCTCGAAGCTGTCCTTGCCGATGTCAGCTATCTTATGGCCATGGAGAAATCTCGGAGTCAACCGGCTGCAAGAGCATCGAAGAAAATTATTTTGCCAGATCCTAGGTGAGTATTCTGTTTTTAACTTTCATTTTTCTTTCGTTTTTTTCCAAACTTTCCCAAAGTATTATATCAGTGAAGGCTAGTGGTCTAGAAAATTAGTTTGAAAAGTCAAAAAAAAAAAATTTTTTTTTGCTATATTGTTGAGAATGGATAGATAGAGCTAAAAAGGTAGGTTCAGTAAGAAGGTGAAAGTGAATAGAGAAGTGATAAAGAAAGTAAAATTTTAAAAAAAGCTTTATTTTAAGAAAAGAAAAAGGATTTTTTTGTTGATTAAAGTAATGAAATTTTGAGTGAATTCAGTTAAGGATATTTATTTTAAAATAGTTTATGTATATTATTAAGTATAGCGGCAGGAATGATAATGATAACTCTTTCATATGTGGTTGTTGCTGCTTTTGATAGCTTTAAGATAGTTGTTATTATTATTATTATTATTATTCAGTGATATTAATTGTATGTCTATGTTTGCAGCGTAAGGAGTATAATGCAAAAATATCTGGAGAAGACGGGGGAAATTAAATTTGAAAAAATATTTAATCAAAGACTTGGATTTTTATTGCTAAAAGAATTTGTGGAAAGTATGTATGAAAAAGCGTGTCCATTGATTAAATTCTACGAAGCGGTAAGTGATTGTTAAAGACGAATATATTTTAGTTGAATATATATTTACCGGGAAATTGTTACTGTTTTTTTTTTCCTATCTGTTTTCGTTTCTTTTTTTTTTTACTAATATATTTGTTTCAATTAAAAATGAATAAACAATATTTGTTTTTTAATAAGAAGAAAGAAAATTTTAATAGGAAATAATTTTGCACTGTGTTTTTTTTTTTCTCTTTTGTTAGTATATTTACTTTTTGGTTTGATGTCGTTGTTGTTGTTGTTGTTGTTGTTTCTGTTAATATCTCTTTTTATTGATATTTTTTTTCTTCTCAAGGTTTAAATTAAGAAAGTTTAGAGATGTAAAAAAGAGAAAGCAAAAAAAAATTTTTTTTTGGCTGATAAGTGAAATAACAAGAAAAAAAAAAGCGCCTAGCATTGATTTTGTTGAATTAAACAAAGCTTGAAAAAGAAGAAGAAGAAGAAGGGAAGTCGACTTATCAGGTGTTAAAAAGAGGTTAATGTTGTCGAAAAAATCACTGTGCTTTTTTTTTGTGCTTTTCTAGTTTATTTTCTTCCTATTTTTTTTGGCACTAAAAAAATGAACAAAAAAAAAAAAAAAATGCAAAA